AGCTTGTTCTAAGTAGATGCTTTAGACCACTGAGCCATCTCTCCAGCCTGCAATGCCTTTTTAATGAGGTACATTGCCAGCCCCTTTTTATTTTTTTGAAATAGGGTCTCACAGAGCTGCCCAGGTTAGGTTTGAACTGGCGACCCTCTTGCTTCAGCTCCTCAGGGGCACACCACCATGCCAGGTCCTGTGGGATCTTTTTTTTGAGACAAAGTTTCGTCATGCAGTTCAAACTGGCCTTGGGCTCACTTTGTAGCCCAGGCTGGTCTTGAACTCGCAAGGATCCTGCCTCAGCTTCCCCAGCTCTGTGGGGTCTGTAGTGGTATCTTTACTCGCTTTCCTGATAGTGTCAATGTTTTGGTCTGCCTTGTTAAAATTGTATCAACGGAAAAAAATATTTTCAGAGGAACAGCTTTTGGCTACAGTGATTATTATGTTGACTTTGTTTCCGATTTGTCTTCCTTTGATTACTGTACTTTCTTCCTCCTGGTTTAATTTTTGTGCCTTTTCTCCCCCTAGTGTCTTAAGATGGAAACCTAGATTGCTGACATTAGACCTTTATTTGTAATGCAGTGTAAGCAGTTAACACTATCAAGGTCACTTTACTATTCGGTACAACTTTTGATATTCTTATTATTCTTACTATTCTGAGTTGGGTACGCTACGGATTGAATCCAGGCCCTATGCATGTTAAGCAAGCAGCTCTGTCGATGAGCTACACCCCAGCTCGCAAGCATTAACATATTCGATTTGAAACATTTTCTTTTTCTGAGTTTTCTTTTTTGAACCATGGATTATTTGGACGTCCTTAAGATTGGCCTGTTGTCATGTACTGACTTACAATTTAATTTCACTATCAGCAGAGAACATACTTTGCTTTTAGTCGAAATTTTTAAAATCTTGTTTCACGATCACCGGCTCTGCAGCCCTCGCAGCGTCCAGAGCATCTCCCGCGCGGTGGCGTCTCCCACCTGCGGGTCGCGCCAACGCCCTGGTGACCTCAGGCGCCCCCAAAGTCCGAGCTAGCGGACTCCCGGCGCCCTCGGCCTGGGACGCGCAGGGCTGAGGATCCGCGCGCGAGCGCGTGCGTGCGTGCGTGAGCCGGAAGTCCCGCCTTCCGGCGCCTGTGATTGGCCCCGGCCGCACCCTCGGCGCGGCGCCGCTGAGCCCGATTGCTGCGAGCGGCGGCGGCGAGGACGGCCGAGGGCCCGTCAGCCTAGTCAGCGGCGCTGTGGCGT